TCAAGAGGACACAGAGAATGAAAGTGATGGAAACTTGATATTGAAAAAAAATGATGCAAAGGCAATCTTGCAAAGAGTGTGGGAAAACATTCAAGATCCAACTGAAAACTTATCTTCAAGTGAATTGTTTTACAAACTAGGATTGTCTCAAGAATTATTTGAAGATGCATTCAACACTATAACTTCAAAACAGACCATTGTTTTACAAAGAGAACCTTCTGAAGTATGGACTAATCAGTACAACCCATGCCTGTTAAAATCCTGGGATGCTAATTTAGACATTCAGTATGTGTTGGACCCATTCAGTTGCATTGTGTACATTATTTCATACATCTCAAAGTCAGAACGAGAAATGGGCATGCTATTAAAACAAACAAAAATTGAAGCAGAGGAAGGAAATCTTAGTGCACGGCAAACAATGAAGAAAATTGGATCTGCATACTTACATCATAGAGAAGTGAGTGCACAAGAGGCAGTATACCGTGTGTGTAATCTCAAAATGAAGGAATGCTCTAGAAAGGTAACATTTATTCCTGTCGGAGAAAATCCAACAAGACTTAGTAAACCTTTGCATCAAATGAACAAAAGCAAAGAAATGGCTGGAGATGATGATGAAGATGATATTTGGATGACCAATATTGTAGAAAGATATGAGAACCGTCCCAAAATGCAGGAATTTGCTGAAATGTGCCTTGCAACTTTTTGTGCTGATTACAGAGTCCTGGCAAAATCCCAAGTTCCTGCAAACCTTCGAGAGGGAATCTTCGAATTGCAAAATGGGAAAGGTTATATTCAAAAAAGAACAAGGACAAAACCAGCTATTATCAGATTTCCTAGATTTAACAAAGAAAAGATGGCAGAAAAATTTTACCAATCTTTACTTCAGCTTTTTCTTCCTTACTGGAAAGAAGAACAACTCAAACCACCTAAATATGAATTGTTTCAGAATTTTTATGAAACTGGATGCGTACGTTTGACATCAGGGAAAAAAATGAAGATGGTGAGGGAAATTGTTGATTTGAACCGACAGATTTACTGCAAGAATGAAGATGTACTTGACCAAGCACAAGAGACTTATGAGATTATAGGAGAACCTGAAGACGCCTGGGCTTTACTTTGTCCTCAGACTGAAGAGAGCAGAGAGAACTGCATGAGAAAAAAATCTCAGGAGCTGCCAAAGCAAGGGGAAGCAGAAGATATTCCAGATTTGCAAGATATTGATCATAATGCAGATCTTTTGTACCAGATCCAGAATACAGCTCATTCACGTCAAAAAATGTTGCCATTGCTCCGTACTTTAAATGCAACTCAGAGTGAGATATTCTATTTTGTACGAGAATGGTGCCTAAAGAAATGCCATGGAGAAAAGCCTAAACCATTTCATATATTCATAACAGGAGGTGCTGGAACAGGGAAAAGTCACTTGATTAATACTGTCCAGTATGAAGCAAGCAGATTATTTGCAAGAACTTTAACCAACCCTGAAAGTATCTCAGTTCTCTTAACTGCATTGACTGGTACTGCAGCATTTAATATAGGAGGCACCACACTGCATCATGCATTTGCTCTAACAAAGTACTTACCAATTCCTTACGAACCTCTACAAGAACAACGCCTTAGTTCCATTAGAGTGAAGTTGGAAGATTTGCAAATATTAATCATAGATGAAATATCAATGGTGTACAAGCGTCTACTGTATTATGTTCACGAACGTCTTGTACAAATTAAGAAATGCAAGCTCCCATTTGGTGGTGTGTCAGTTATTGCCGTTGGGGATTTCTATCAGCTACCTCCTGTCAAACAGAAAAAAACTGAGCGACTGTACAATGACTGTTCAACTTATCCTGTAGATTACTGGAAGGAGCTATTTAAGGTTGTTGAATTACATGAAATTATGCGTCAACGTGAGGATGCCAGTTTTGCAGAAGCTTTGAACAGTTTACGAGTGAGAACAAGCAAAGAGAATTTAGAACCACATGTGGCAGAAATGTTATTAGAGTGTGTCAGTGAAGGATCAGATGATGCACTGCATGTGTATGCAACCAATGAAGAAGTAAATAATTACAACCTTTCAATGCTAACCACAAAGAGTCTGGAGCTTGTTGAAATAAATGCAAAGGATTATCAAAAAGATAAAACTTCAGGAAAGTTAAACCTGCGAGAGAATCCCATTGCAAAGAAAAAAGCAGAAGGACTTCCAATGTCAATAATTTTAGCACTGCATGCACGAGTTATGCTGACTCGAAATATAGACGTAGATGATGGCCTTGTAAATGGGGTAATGGGATTTGTATCTGAGATCCAATATGCAAACAGAGCACAGAAAGAAGTTAGTTGTGTTGGAGTCATTTTTGATAACAAAGATGTCGGGAAAAAAAGTGGAAGGAAAATTAACTCTGACAGTATCATGGTGCTCATTGAAAGAGTAGATGAAGAGATAAATGAAAAGCATGTTAAAAGTGTTGTGAGACATCAGTTTCCCTTGCAATTATCATGGGCGTGCACAGCACACAAAGTACAAGGTATGACAACAAATGAAATTGTTGTGAATCTAGACAAAGTATTTTCACCAGGACAAGCATATGTAGCTCTTAGTCGGGTAACATCAAAACAAGGATTGCATATTGAAACATCCCAAAGTGATGTACAAAATTTACTTCGGAGAAAAATATATGCAGACCCAGATGTTAAAAATGCAGTTTGTGACATGCCAAAACTTCTTGAAAATAGCACAAACTTGGCTGAACCTGACTGCAAAAGAATTGTATTGCACAATATTCAAGGCTTGCCAGCAAATTTCAAAGAGATGAAATCAGATGCACGATTTCAAAAAGCAAATGTTATTTGTTTGACAGAGACCTGGTTGCAAGAACAGTCATCAGTTCAATTCTCACTGCAAGGCTTTAGGTTCATGCACACATTGAGAAAGAATTCATATGACAAATCTAATGAGCTTTATACCAAGATTCAAATTTTGAATGGAGGGGGAGTTGGCACATATATCCATGGTGACGAAGAAGCAAGACAAATTGATGTTCCTGTTGCAAATATTGAAGTTGTTGCTTTTGTTTTTGAAGAAAACATCTCAGTTTTTACAGTATATAGACCCAGCGCTTTGATAAAAGACTTCTTCATATCGTCACTTGAGCAGCTTACAAATTTCATCAAACGAGAATGCGAAAATTGTATAATATTGGGGGACTTTAACGAAAATGCTTTAGATGACATTGGACCAATTCAAAAATTCTTGAATGAACATGGATTTAAACAACTTGTTACTTTCCCAACAACAGAGGGAAGGACAATCATTGATCATGTTTATGTGTATGGCCTTCAAGAGTATCTCATTGATGTGTCACTACTTCCGACATATTACAGTTATCATGAGGCAATTATTGTAAAACTATATAGGAAATAAATAATATGTTGATGGTAAGAATAATACAGTACCCAAATAACAGATTTTCAATTGACACTTACAGGGAAGTGATTCTTGTTCTTTGTGACTTTAAAATATATTATTATTTAAGAGATATAACAAATTTCTCTTGTATTAAGGAACCCATTTCTCCATCCCTGACACTTTGTTATAATTAGTACCTGATTGAAACCCTAGATGAACATGAATTCAAAAGTGCAATGCTATTGTGTGCATAAACTACACAGTTTATATCTAAACCTAAAAAAAACGGTAAAGGCTCATGTAAAAGAGTGAAGTAATTACATTTTAACTTCAGTATCATCGAACACTAGTCTCAAAAAACCATGAATGTAGACTGAAGTAAATAAAGGTCTACACTTCTCTTTCTTTATGTTTCAGTTATTTTTTTCACTTGGCCTCAGTGTATTCCACATAATGTGGTTTGACTATATTACTTTGAAATGATAGCAGGATCAAAGCAGTCAATACCTGTTAACAAAGCTTTCCATGTACAATTGTTTCTTTGAAGAAAATTTTCATTTGTATCATGAGTGTAATTTACCCATAATCACTCATTTTTAGAGAAAAGTAATTTAAACGGTAACATTCATGATTTATTAGGCCCTGTTCATGCAGAGGGTTCAATTCAAATTAAATGTAAGTTACTGCAAATTAAACTGAACCGCATTCACATGGGGTGTTTAATGGAAATTTGTTTGATTTGAATTAATTTACTGCGCATTAAATTACTTCGCATTAGCTCAGTTGGAATGTTAAACAAAACTAATTTGAATTAAATTTTGAGGCATGCATGATGACAAAATTAGGTCAAATGCCACATGTCGGTTGTCAGCTTTGAATACGTGTGCTATTTTTGAGTTAAGAACTAAGGAAAACTAAGGTGACTTGATTAGCAAATGACACATAAGTGTGTACAAACACAGAATGTCAAAGTTTACATTGCTTTAGCATAAGATGATTCATTTGCAAATGCATTAATAGTTTGATGAACATAGAATTTTAATTCGCATTAGTTTGATTCGCATTAGTTAACTTTGGACTTAAATTACTGCGAATTAAACTCATTGTGTGAAAAATAAGACTCATTTTTCTCCTCAATAAATTAAATTTCTTGATTCTGTATTGCTCCACCAAAATAGTGACAATGTGTAAATATCTTGGATGAAACTCATGTAGAACAATTCTCAGATAGTGTTGATTAAGTTTGTTCAAATTGTGACTCTCAAGGGTACGGTAGGGACACAAAGGGGAATCAAAGTTTAACATAAGAATACATAGGAAAAATCTTCTTAAGAATCACTAGACAAGGAAAGATAAGCATCCTCAGTAAATTCAAGTTTGTTCAATTCATGACCCAGGAGGTAGGGTGGGGCCACAATTCAATACTGAAATTATTTTTGATTTTACCTAGCTAAAGTGCTCTGGTTAGCAATGTAGTCCCTGGACACTGTGCTTGTTCCATTCACCACTGCATGAAATGTGCTTACATGAGCTCTCTCTCTCATATGTAATATATGTTAAATTATCCTTCAGAATTATGTTTCTTTTATATTTATAGATTGCTGATTCAGAAGTTGAATTCATGAAGCTGAGGATAGAGGATACTTTGAAAAGTATGTCTTATTTCCTATATTAATGCAAATATTCAATACATTGTTATTCAGAATACTTTCAGTGTTGATAAATTATAAACGCTTTCTATATACCCGTATGCATGAATTACAATTAAACACAGAAGCTTGGACAAAGTTTTTCTATTTTTACAGTTTGCTTTAATTTAATGCTATTACAATAGCTTCATTATCAAAATGATGTGACTGAACATGATCAGACTATGATGGCATGTGCAGGTGTATAATGTACCACAACTATGATTGTACCCTTTTAAAAATAGAAAATTTCCTTTTTTAGGAATAATCTAAACCATTATCATGAACAACTTCTTTAGTGATGAAGAGCCCAAATCCAAAGCCTTTTCCTAAGAAAAACTTGCACAGCAGGGAAAATCTTCAAGGAAACTAAAAAGGGAACAGTTTTGACAAGTGTAAGTAACAGTTATGCCTAACATGATAATTTATCTTTTAGGATGATATATTATACAATTATGGACTGTTTAGAAGGGAGACATCACCAATTATCAGGTCTGAATGTTGTCAACCCGAGGTATCACTGCGCCCGAGGGTAATATTTAGACCTAAATGTCATAAATATATATATCCTGAAGAATATATAATTTCAATTACATAGATTAGAAAATAGTAATCAAACCTCTTGTTTTCTTCTACTCTGCTCTGATTCTATATTTCAAAATATTTCAACAAACAAGGAAACATTGCCATAGAATTTATGTTTACCGAGGCATATATAAAATTTATTAGGCTCCATGTGATTGTACTTATAAATAAGAGTTATCATTTAAATCACTGTAGTTTCATTCAAAGGGCCAACACAGTTGTAAGCATGCTCGCTTACGCAGATTTTTGTCATATGAAGGGAGTAACAGTTGTCACCCTGCGATCGTGAGGGAGACATCACAAGAAAAATTGTCTCCCTGCACGTGACCTGCTCTAAACCAATCAGATTGACTGTATAATTCTGAAGGATAATAATACTACTTTCTGAATGTTAGCAATTTTTGGTATCACTTAATATTCAGTATAAATGTCATATATATATATAATCATCACTAAATTAAATATATCACAGTGTGAAAATAATTGCTATACTCATGTTCTCAGCCTAGCTAACCAAAACCATAGGTTATATTTATTTAGGCAATAGACTTGCCCTAATCATGTCAGAATCTTGGATTTTAAAAGATACGGTTTTACAATACATTGAACTAACTGCAAAAATAGGTAATCAGAAAAGCTCATTTCAGAATTTTTTTAGATATGTCTATTATTGTTCTCAATTGCAACTAACACTACGGTAATTTAAGTGTTGACCTTGCTCTTCTACCAGGAATCTTGGTGCCATCAAGGAATGAACGAAAAGGGAATATCAATCTCATCCAATACATCAACGAAAAAACACAGAGGAAAATAACAGCATACAGGACATCACCTGGAACTCAACCATAGGTTTATGTATTTAGATGGCATTGACCTCCGTGAGAACAGCAATTTTAAAAGTTCTGTTCAATATGACTAATGCAGACATGCCAACATCAGAAAGTTGATCACTCTCTTGAGTTATTAGTAAATGAAATATATCAATGGTATAGTGCTTTACTGACATGCATTTACTTTATTAACGTCATTAATATTGTCCATATTTAACCAATAACCCCTAATTTTTCTCAAGAGGATTAATGTTTAATTACTACTTGTATTTTTTTTATTTAATATATGTTTTTAATTTACTAGTTGTGCACTTGTTATTTCTTTGTTTGCTTCTTATGTGTTACAAACATGTATCTCCCAATGTCATGGAGATAGATTATCTATTTAACATATTGTACGTGTAAGTCTGTTGACAGTCCCCATGATCCAATGTGTATTTTATTACATGTATAAACATTGTAACTATAACATTGTTGAGTTTTTTTCATTAAACTACAATATATCACTATATATTTCCATTTCTATTTGTTTTCTCTGTGATATCTCTTTGAAAGTTAGTCAAGTTGATTATTTGATCATTCTACCGGAATGTAAATTTCACCAAGCAATAGGTCAGGAGCTTAGGAGGGCTTAATGCATGTATAATGTTGTGCGTCTGTCTTTGATTTTGATGTCAGTTGGCAGGGACTATTGAAATGAATTTAAATCCATTATCCTACATTTTCTTATAATCTAAATGTACTATTTTATTTTACAATGATTTGGAAATATAAGCCTAAGGAATTACTTTTTAGTTAGTAGAGTATGCCTGGACATTAACGATAGTTGGAAACATGGCCTTAACCCATAAGGCTTAAATTATCCCACGTTTCCAAGTTTCGTTGATGCCCTGGCGTACTCTATTAACTAGACAGTGATTCCTTAAATTAATCTTTGATTATGTTGTATGCATATTATGGTTTTGATATTTATGTCCTGAATATTTTCCCATACATATTTATATAATAACAGACAATGTACATCATTGAAAAGAACATGTATTAGTCTTAAAATCAAGAAAGAGCTGCAAGGTGAGAAATTCCCTTGCTCTGAGACAATGTTTTTCTTAATTTTTAAAGCTTATGGAAAACTTGTATATTCTAAAATTATCTTTTCAGTAATGATATCTTTAACACATATGATCATTTATTCTATTAAATTACTTATGGTTGATAATTTATTTTTAAAGTTATTAATAAAGCATACTTTAGAGGAAAAAGGTTTTGTTTTGGCAAAAAGAAGTGATTTTCTATGCACGATCAGGAATATTGCAGGGGACATATAGTGTTTGTCATGTCCATCTTCTGTCCTTCCGTCACACTTTGCATTTAGCTCAGTTCAAAGAAACTCTCTATGATATTTTCATCACACTTCATATGCTGATAGATATTAATGAGAGCTATGCAACTGTGTCAACATTTTTTGACCATTAATTTTCCTTTGACCTTGACCCCATTTCTCTCAAATTAGTATTTAGCTCAGTTTTAAGCATACCATTCAAGATGGTGTTATCAAACTAAGCCATTTAACTATTTTTGACCTGACTTTTTCTTTGACCTAGCTTTTCTTAAAGTAGTGTTTT